CCCAGTCCCTGTGTCGAAAGGAGACTGCGACCATACCCGAGGCCACAACATCTTGGTCTTCACATCTTCAATTCCATTACGAAAGTTGATTGTCATTAAGGGAAGCCTGTTTGATTGTGCCATGGAGTCCTCTGGTCACCATTCTGTAACCTCGATGTTATCGTGCTAAGCTTTCGTCTGTACCGTTATGATAGACAAGAATCTCAATTTCACAATTTAGTACAACAAAGTAGTAAACAAATGGAAAAGTATGAATTCTTGCTTTGATGATGTCTGTTACGGAGGTACAGACGAAAGTTTAGGATAGGCTCATTGGAGTCTCAGGGCAGTGAGTCGAGGACTTCTTTGTACAGCCCAACAGTCTTTAATTTGTATAAATCCTTCTTCGGTTTCTGGTGAGGCGATTTGAGGAATTGCTTCCATCTAACTCTCTCTTCTCTTTGAAACCCAGTTTTTCGTCATTAAATCACATGAATTGGCGTGTTAGGTACAATGAAATTGTACATTTAAGTTGACCTTCTGGCCTAATATATATGAGGCATATTTCACCCTATTTCGTTTAAGATGATATCATTTAATTTCGCATAGCCTCGTCTACCAAAAGGTATTCTCATCCCGGCTGGTGTGGACTGCATTTCCGACCTCCCAACAACTGGTCTCCTCAGCAACTCGAGTTGGTCTTAAACCCTGAAGGTGCGGAATATAATATCGACACGTTGAACAAGACACAAGACACAAGACACGAGCGCCCTTGTGCCAGAGGGCAGATGAGCATTTCAAGGAATGTCAGGCATTTTGCCATATCTTGGTGGGATTGTCGATGAAGCAAAATTGTATTTGCTATAAAGCTTAATTTTCGTCTACAAATAAGTTATCAAGACTACCAGTAATGGCTGGCTGGATCGTCGATCTTCACTGCCTCCTCGTAGGGATCGCCCTTCGCCATGCTCTCTATTGGTGGAGAGATTGGTCTATCCTGACCAATCACCATCGAGCTGCCGACCACTTGTCTCCCATTGGTCCGTCCCACAGCGTCGTTGTACTTATCTCATTGTTGGTACCGCCACCGGTGAGGTCTACAGTCGCGGGGTGATTATAAGGCCGACAGTTTCTCGGATTGTAACCCAATCTTGGCGGATGTATTTGGCGTCTGGTGACGGGCTGAACAGTTCTGTTGTCGTCGCCCTGCCTACCGGCAGCCCCATGAAGCCGGGCTGTGGAGGCGCGGTATCTGAGGCGAAATACGCCGAAGATGCCTTTCCCACCGGCGAGGCTAGCACCTACGCCGTGGGCAAAGTGTGCTTTTTCCTCTGCACCGCCGTCGGCCTCGGCCAAGTTCTCCTTCTCGCTCGGATCTACCCACTTCGTGTGCTCTACGGTGCTCCGCTCATCACCAGCCTCATCCTCCTTTCCACCAGCCAGTCGATTGTTCTCGTCGTCTGCCTCTCAAACCCTCTGCCCGTAGCTTCGCCGTCACAGTCGCCGTCGCCGTCGCCATTGATGTTGCCGTTGACGTTGACGTCAAAGTCGACGTTGACCTCGCCGTTGCCGTTGACTTCGAAGTCGACGTTGCCGTTGACGTCAAAGTCGACGTTGACCTCGCCGTTGCCGTTGATGCTGTCGTTGCCATTGTCGTCGTCTCGGGTCAACGAGCCACTGTCCGGCGGCCAGGTCAATTGGCTCGCTGGTCTACGGCTGGTCATGTTGCTTGCCTACCTCGCCAGCCTGACATGGGCCCTGTTTGCATGTCTGCAAATTTGGCTGGTCGTCTTCCGAGGCGCTCACACTCGCGCCACCTCCGAGGCCTGTCACCGGCCGAGCTACCTTTTCGGTTGTCTTGTCGGCGTACTTTTGCCGGTCACCCTTTTGTTGCTAACCGAGCAACGATGGCTCTTCAACCGACAGGCCGCCAACATCTCGCAGACTGTCCGTGCAGACGGTGGCCGTGTTCTCGGGCCGTCCGAAGAGGTCGGACTCACCGGCATTTTGGCCAACCATTCAAGCGTGCACGAATGTCGACTCGACACGCCAGAAGCCATTGACGCCTGGCGCTTCTTCCTACCGTCAGCTCTGCTTCTCGGCTTGCAGGCCGGCTTTCTTCTGGCCACCCTTTGGCTGCGCACCGGCCACATTCTCAGTCGTCGTCTCATCGCAGCTCGTCTTCGCGCCCATTTGCCTCATTGGCGCAAATGGCACTGTTGCCTGGCAACGGTTCGTCTTGTCCTGCTTCCTCGCAGACGCGTCATGCCGGCCGGCGCCAACAAGGTTCACTTTCCCGCCAGCTTCGAATTGGCCACTTCAGCCTCGGACAATCTCGAGGCGACGTCGCGACGACCCACCGACCTGTCAACAAATTCGCCTTTTGTCACTCGGTACACCCTCGGGCCCAACAACCAATTCCGATATACCTACTCATCCTCTTCCGCCGTCTCCGCCTCCTCCTCCTCTTCCTCCTCCCCTTCCTCCTCCTCCGTCGCCGCCGTCGCCGTCGCCGTTGATGCCGCCTCGCCGTCGCCGGCATGCTCGACGTCTCCGTCACGCTTGAGCGACTCGTCGTGCGGGATTCGCGAGGACCGAAAGTTGATGGGCAGCAATCCGGAGACGATGGTGCGCATTTCGTTGTGTGGCAAGTTGGTGCTGACCAACACCATCACGTTGGGCACCGCGTATGCCGCGAGTCTGCTGCGACTTCCGCCGCTCTGGCATGTGTTTGCGCTCACCTCGGGCCTACAGTCCATCCTGTTGGGCGTCAGTTTGGTGCTGAGTCATAGCGCTTTGGATGTGCTCTACGATTGGTGGCATGCGCATGGATCGCGCATCCGCAGCAGCCTCTGGAACCCCTTCCAGACGACCAACACAGACTCGATGCTCGGGCTGAGTGAAGAGGAGGCGAATGATGTCGCGATCGAGGAGGCTGCAGCCGTGGGCGTGGATGGTGTTTGTGGCGAGAGGCTGAGCGGAAACGCCGAACTGTGGCAGGAGAGACGAGCTAAACGGAGAGTGGAAGAAGGTCAGCTCAAAGATCGCGAAATCGGTGAAACTGTAGATGGCAAAAGTGAACAGGTCGAGGGTGTCAGACCACTCGGACGTGATGACGTGGGAAGGCAGGAGAGCAGTTTGGCAAAAGGCGTCTTTTTGAGAAGTCTCGTGAGCCAGACGAACGCGAATGGTGAAAGCGCGACACATTTGGCGTCGGTGGGTGTGAAACGAGGCCTCACGGATTGATTGGAAAGAGGCGGCTCTTCTTCACGTCGGAATATACCTGGCACACAATGATTAGTTCGCTTTTCCTTGTTTCTGTCGGCCTTTTGTCATGCACCACATGTCATGGTTGTGCAGACTTTCAGGGAGGATACGAAGAATAACGGGTTTTCGAGAAATCTCCAAAGACAGCATTTTTAGGGAGAATTTCACTTTGTATGAAAGTGCATGTAGAAGATACTCGAAGGCCGATCTCACCGGATGAAGAGGGTGGATTCCTGTTTTACTGGAGCCGGTTGGCTTGAATACGATCTTCAGGTCGACGTAGTACAAGATATCTTTTTGGGTTATAATATCTTGGTGACCCGAGCCTAACATTAAGCTTTTTTTAACTAATCCTATTTAGGACTTGCATTGTGTACAGCTTTTAACACACTGACACACACACACACACACATACGCACACATACTCAAGCATAAGTACCTTGACCAATATGAAAGGGAATTAGCTAAATAATTCAGTATTTATCTATGTATAAACATTTTCTTTTTTTAATTATGAGTGTATGTAAGAGGTAAAATAGAAATGAACAGTCTTCTTGACCTGGTGCCAGCTTGAGACTTTAACAAAAATGATGATGGACAAAAGTTAAACTCATTTTCATGTGGACTGCGTCAATCTGGAGGTCGTATTAAAGCCAAACGGCTGCAGTAAAATGCGAAGCAGTCGTCATCTTCGGGTGAAATGAACCTTCGAATATTTTCACGCAATTTTATGCAAATTGCAAGTCTTTCTAACACAATTTTAGCATTTATGCAAGTGTGGCTGATTAAAAGATTTTTGGGTTATTCTCACCACAAGTAAATGATCGTTCTGTAGCCGTTTGACGCCCCAATCACAAGACAATCTTCCACGAATCGACGGAAACCGACCGACTCTTCGTCTGTCGTGTTGCATATCAGGCATCGTCAGAACTGGCATTGATTCCTAAAAAAGATTACAGTTACCACAAAGTAATAAAGACTTACCCAATCTGACGTACAAGGCTACATAACTTTGCAAACCAAAAAGTAAAAATATATAAATAGGCATGGATAGGTACAGAATGATTTTTATTTCTTTTTAATATTAATCTATATGGTTTTATATTTAAATATGTCTTTGCATGTTAATGCGATCTTCTTAACTTAGAGTCATCTTTAAGGCTTTGCAATATCTATTTCCAGCCCTCACAATGTCTGTCATATGACGAAGGAAAGCTCAGCCTATATGAGGTGTATTCAACATATTTTGTTCAAGGCGGCACGGCAATCGGTTGTTGAATCTTCCCACAAGCTGATGGGTAGACCTTATATTTCCACTAAATGTCCCATGATCTTGCTGTCCCAGAAGGTAATCTCATCCAGTCTGGAGTGGACTGCTATTTTTGCACCTCGCCTAAACTGGTCTAATCGACACCATCAGCGGGACTCAAGCTCAAGCTCTGTTAATTGAGAGTATAATCGTGACATTTTAGCCACTAAGCCACACTGCCCTCGAGTCGCAGTCACATTTTACGGTGCAAGGGTCGAAGAAGCATAGTTGTATTTGCTACAGTAATCGAATATATTAATTATTTTGCATAAAAGAAATCTTTTAGAGACTACCAGCAGGACATATATAAAAAATAAATAAATAAATAAAATAAATAAATAAATAAACAAAAAAACAAATAAATAAATAAATAAGTAAGTAAATAAATAAATAAATAAATAAACAAATACATTAATAAATGAATAAACAAAAAAAAATAAATGAATGAATAAATAAATCAATCAATAAATAAACAAATAAATAAATACGCAAATAAATAAATAAATAAATAAATATAAATATACGGGGATTGGGGACCATCTTATAAATGGTTAATAATTAATGTAGTCGATTTCTATAGCAATCACCCACATTGTTTCCTCGACAATCCCACAACAGAATGTGATACGGCAAAAATACCTGGCCTTCCTCGTAAGTCACATCTAACCTGTGACCCAAGGGCCTTCGTGATACTCTGACGGAGTGGTTAATCTGTTGGGATTTTAC